CTTGGGACCTACTGCATGGAATCTTATGATCCAAGTTGATATAGGTCCACAGGATGGTCTCCTATAGTCCTACCCATTGGTGATCACACAGCAAGTGTTAGGGTTAGTCCATTTCTGGAGACACTTGGTGCTATATAACCCAGGATGGAGATATGCTAGAGAGCCAGGGGCACCACTTTTTGGGAGGTGGATCAAACCCCTACCAGTAGGTATGCTCAGATTTTTCAGACTCACAAAGGCCATGTCATGGTAGACCCATCATTTTTGGGATAGATAACACTGATAATGGTCCTGTGAGAGATCCAGGATAGCTATAAGGTTGATTCAACTGCTGAACAAGTTCATTTGAAGGTATCTACAATCCCCAGTCTAGGTATTGTGTCATACTTGAAATTATTTTCTGACCAGTTGTAATAGCGAAGACACTCTCTTTTGCTCTATGGGTACCTACCCTGTCTTCAGCTACCTCTAATGACACATACCAGAACTACAACTAATTACAGTATAGGGTCCTAGTACACATCCAAACACCCCCATACATGCATCTTAATGTCTAGTACTTAGTCTATAGACCCCATTATTCATGTAAACCAGTTCTACACGCAACCTGTCTTGGAATGTTCACCTCAATTCATCCTCTAAGGCTATATAGAGACCAATCAGAGTATGTGGGTATCTATATATACCTCATTAACTGAACTTAACACATTTTGATCCATAATCAACCAGCAGATCATGGCTGTATTTTCAATATCTTGCGTCATAGGAGTAATGTGTATAATAGCAAATAACAAGAGATTCCATGCATAAGGCATAATGAGAGGCATGAGATCCTTCAGGGGGACCCCTCTGTATGCTTCCTACCTTTATGTCATTGGGGATCCCTTATCTCTGAGTGAGTTATTGGAAGATTGGAATAACAGGATATATGCCATATGCACAGGTATGTAGGGTGTCTAAAAATATATATGTCATACAGGGCCATAACAGAGCTCCATCTGCCTAGAACACAGCTTAGATCATGATTATCCATAAGTTCCCTAGCGAGATATCAAGTCATCATTATGCCTGATCCAATTTGAAATAGAAAAACAATGGAAAAGTGATATGGTAGCACAAGCCTAAGCTATAGAACCATGCTCACATCAGAGTATATCAAGGCTAGGTAACTGCATACCTGTCAGTAAAACAATCATTTGAATTCATCAAGGACTGGTGGAGATCTGGCTAGATCAATATGGCTGATGGATGATCATTAAGTAGCATAGCTATAGTAGTAGTATTGTATGGGCAACAATACTGGTATTACTATTCGGGCATTCTCAGTACTGCTTAAATCGACTCTATAGCTATTCTAGTTATTATAATATCATCTTATTAGTTGTACATCAGCTAGTGATTGACCAGGATTGACACAAATATTGAGGTGTTACTATAGGTTACTTCATGGAAGTTGTTTATATAGTCAGATTATACAACTTTGAATTGTCACGATCTGTGACATTCTCTCATGATTGTATTGTCACAGGGCAAATATTTCCTTTTTTGGCTACTTCTTATACCTCTCACTACATACTACAACAGGTTCATTTCTGTGACATATGTGACTACCAGTCAGTCTTTAGCTACTTACCTGGAAAATTTCATTTTGGTGGTGAATGTTACTCATGTCACATAGTGTGACAAACGTGACAAATGCGCGATTTTGTCACACTTGGACTTAGACCCAGATACCAGGAGAATTATAGCGGCTATAGCAGCGGAGGATAGGACTTAGTAGCATAGAGGGAAACTTAGAGCCTATGCTGCAGCAAGATATTTGAGAATTATTGCAGCATGGCTATTTTGCAGTCATCTCTTCTAATTAGAATTGAGACCCCAGCGTAGCCTCACTTCTAATTAGAAGAGATATGTGGGATTAACAGGTGCTGGACGCCTCTGACATCAGAACGACTCGGCCCTCCGAGAACTTCTCCCACAAGCGCCTCGGACCGTTCAAGGTACTCGCAGAGGTCAGCAAAGGTGCCTACAAGCTCGACCTCCCCCCGCGTTACTCCAAGCTCCACCCCGTCTTCCCGGTTGTTAAGCTCGAGCCCGCTCAGGACAACCCTTTCAATGGACGACCCGGCTACGACAAACCGCCCCCCGAGCTAGAGGACGGAGTCCCCGAATGGGAAGTCGAGGAAATCTTGGATGCCAGGATAAGGTATAAGCGTCTTCACTATTTCGTCAGGTGGAAAGGCTACGATGCTTCACACGACTCGTGGGTTCGGTTCGACCGTGTCTTTGCGCCAGACAAGATTGCGGACTTCTATCGGAGGTACCCGGGTAAACCACGGCACATTGCCTCAGCAACCTTCGACTCCTTGCCCTTTCGAACTATGCGTTGGGACGCCGCATTCAAAGGGGGGGGTGATGTCAGGGGAACCCCCGCTTCGGCCTCCTTCGGACCCTCCGAGCGCATCCGAGGCGCATCCGACCAGCGCCCCCTCAGACGCTCCGACCCACCCCGACCATCGTCCATGGCCTCCTTCGCCCGCACAATCACTGATCCGTCAAGACCCTCCCAACGATCACCTTGGGACAGAGCCTGCGACGCCGCTCAGGCCTTCTGCGCTCTACGTCAGCAGTTACGGACGACCAGTATATAGTTGGCGCCCTAGCAGGCGGACCCTTAGAGTTTCTTCTCTTTGGATCCTCCCCTGCTAGGTCGGTCCCTCCGTGTACTTCCGTAGCTTTTATTCATGCTTTGGATCCTCCCCTGCTAGGCTTTCGTCGGAGTCTCCAGGGTTGCCCTTACAGTGTCCGATTACCCCTTTGCGGGCCCGCGTATATAATGCGTGATAGCGTACCATGTACTCTATCACTTAGATTGTCTAAAGAACTACCTTACTCCGTGCAAGGAGGTGCCATTGACTCATCGGGCCCGACACGACCTGATTCGAACCTTCGACCACCGACAGCGACAAGGGACCGAGTTAACGGGCCCTTTCGGTTTCAATCTACCCCGCTTGCCAACGATCCATCTGTTCTGTTCCGGGCGCGTGTTCTTAGGAGAGGTTCTTGCACGGCCCGACCTGCAGTCTGACACAGGGGAACCTCCCTTTCGGTCCCTCGGAGACGATTCTGATTCCGGTTCCGACTCCGGTCCGGCCCTCCATCTCGCCCGCACAATCACTGATATGTCAACGCCCTCCCAACGGTCGCCCTGGGACCTCGCCTGCAACGCCGCCCAAGCCTTCTGTGCCCGACAGCGGCAGCTATGGACAAGCAGTATATAGTCAGCTACCTAGCAGGCGGACCCTCAGAGTTTCTTCTCTTTGGATCCTCCCCTGCTAGGTCAGCTTCATTTGTCTTCACTTACCAATGTTCACCCTTTGGATCCTCCCCTTGCTAGACCTTGATCTCAGGCCTCCGGGGTTGCCCTTACAATCACCAATAGCTGGAGACGGATTGTATTGCTCCTGAGCGTACTTGATCTATTCCTTAAGGAACTTGTGCAGCTCTTGGAGATCAATGATGTGGTCCTTGGCATAAACAGTAGCCACATCACGCTCTAGATGAATCGTAATAGAGGGATTGACAATCCCTCTATTATGAGTAATGCCTCGGATACCCATGGGTTTACCCGTGCAGTTGCCTAGGGATTGTAGCCTTATAAAGCGGATGAGAAGACGGATTTGTTGGTTGATGGTTGATGAGGAGCCGTCGAGATACCATAGCTTAACAGGTGGAACAACAGAGGGCAAAAGATTCTTCATTTTACAGATAGAGGCAGATATAAAACAAGGAGATGATGAGTTGGGGTTGAACCAGACTCTATTCCTGACAGGATCCAGTCTGGGACCCGTGGACTCTGGAGATGGGACAAGAGCAGAAATGTGAAACAAGGCATGAGATGAAAGAGTGGACACATTGAGACATACCTCCAGTAGCAACCTGGAGTCAACGTGGCTCGGTTCGGCTGCAAGGAGGACTGAGTTGCTGACTTTTTTTTTTTTTGACTCAGTGTTGTCGACGCAACCACCCACTTCTCCACTCACCCTCCCTTTCTATTTTGAGCGTTTCACAGTCAAATTTGTAAGTATATAGTCCCACATGACACTGTTTAGCCCCGCGGGGCTTCCTCGATCTCCACCACCCTCTGCTCACTCATCCCGTGTTCCTCTGCGACGTGCCAAGATCCGGTACCTTCGTTATTGGCTCTCAGGCTTCTGCCAGTGGCATCCTGCGTGGATACCCGGGCCGGCACGTCTTCTACCCTTTCAAGTTGTGGCTGTGGCGCCGGCTCAGCGGTCAACCGATGCGCATGCTGGGACAGCACTATGGCGTGCCGCTTCCGGGTTTTCTTCCACCACCGGAAGAGCAACGCGCCAACAAATATTGCAAAAAGCAAACTAAATACTGCAATGAGTGAAAGAGGTGAGTCTGAAATCATCACTGCGAGGGGAAACATGCGCACAAACTTCTAGTGCAATCGGGTATGCCTTCCCGCGGCTGAGGTTGATCGAGTTTGGTTCGCTGTGAAGACTCGGCTGCGGAAAGACGGACTGAGACGCGGGGGAGAATGTGGTGAGGCTGATACTTTGGTGTGCCATCCCAGGGACCACCGTGGGCCGGGTCAAGAGGGAAAAACGTGGCTTCTCGCTTCTTTGTAAAATTCCACCTCGCCGCATTGCGCGTTACCATGCCAACTATATATATATCTGTCAATATCAGAAGGTGAGCATCAGCCGAGCACTGAGCAGACGATGTTTACGTGGTGTCCCACCGATGATGCTAGGTTCGACTCCCGGGGGCCGCATGAATCCCAATGGTGCATAGTTTATGGCTAACAATGGTGGACTGCACTCCTTCTATTGCATGTCTACTTCCAAAATCACACCGAGTACATGTACTGATATGCACGAATATATCTGGGGCGAAGAATAGTGCTGGCCAGATACGAAAATACTGCTGGTGAGGAGGGAAAGTTTTCGGCGATTGACGCCAGTGTACTTTCATGCGTCATAGAAGGCTCGCTCATAGTTGGATTGCCTGTCCCGGAAGCTCTCTACTTCTACCGGAGCACCGGGGGCTACGCGCGAGAACATAGAGCATCGCGAAGACATGACTCGCATCCCGCCAGACGAGCCCGACATCTTGCACGCGATCTCGACATGACGCAGCGAGCTGCTGGTGGCGAGGACCGACGTGCCGAGGTGCTGGAGGGCGGTTTCGGGACTGGTCTTCTCTTCAAATTTAAAGTCGATGTTTTCCCCGCCTTCGCCAGCGCCTGAGAACTTCACAAGCGACCCCGATCCCAGGTAGAAACGCAAGAAGAAGGCTGTGAGGTGTGGGAAGCGTGCAAGGGGCTGTTGTATGGTCCCCTCTTCGCGGACACCTGCGCTGCCGACGGTCTCGTCGTAGTAGAGCGTCGTGAGGCCGGGGAGGGAGTCGGCAAGCATGGATAGGATGGCGTAGATGTTGATATCAGGTTGGCCGTGCGTTTCAAGCGCCAGGTTGGTCAATGTCTCCGCGTAGGTGCCAAGGTTGACGAAGCTGGGAGGCTCTTCATCCTCGTCGCTGGTCGTTAGAATAGCATGTGCGAGCTGCCATGCGGAGTTGTCGGCCGGCGGGACCGCCTTGAGCGCCGCGTAAAGGTGGACCAGGGGAAGATTCGCAACCGCAGACAAGTCGTTCTCCGCCCAGGATGGGATGACCAACGATGTTAGCGCTGGCTGTCCTGTCCAGACATCATCGTTGAGGCCATCCCAAGCCGCCAAGTGCAGGTGTGTGAGACGGAACGGGCACCCAGGGCCGAGAAGGTCGTACAAGCTTGTCGGGTGTTCTGCAACCTATTGTGAGCAGGGCGCGCCAGCGTCAAGGACTAGCTCACCGAACAAGCCATAACCAAGACGGAATCGCCTGAGATTGATGCAGCCACGGAGCGCCAAAACGAATACCAGTAGGAGTCGTGCTTCGGTTTCGGCATCGTACTCGTTGAGGTGGAGCATGACCCGTAGAATGAAGCTGAGCGAGTGCACTTTCTGTGCTAAGCGGGGGTTGTCTGTGACAGTCCTGCACCAGCTGAATCCTTGTTCCGAAGTGCGATGGTCCAGGACGACGCGCTGATACAAGCAGTCCTCCGAGATTGCGCGAAAAGCGGTACAGCTGAGAGCGAGAGTGGCCAGAGACGAAGGCGGGGCGCACTCCGCAATGGCAGTCACCAGCTCAACGGGTAAGGAAGCGGGCGCCATGACGGTCGAGAAAGAAAAAAAAATTGGGGTCTGTCACGACGGTGACGTATCGGCCTTGGATCGCCGCTTATTAAGGTGCCAAGCAAGGACAGCTCAAGGTGAGGACAAGGGGACTCAAATTTGACACCGTACGGACCGTTGCCAAGGCCTTTAAACCTTCTCTTCAAGGCGGTACTAGTGCACATATCGGATGCCATACATTCCAAGCCAGCGGTTGCCAGTGTCCATGCGGAGTCGGGATGCGGCGAGTCGCTTATTGCCACGGTAAGCTTATGTTAACCTCAAAACTCCGCTTCAAGAAAATTGGGATTTCAAATCGTAGTACACGCTGTTATTTCAGCCACATTGCAATGTTGGTTTCGGCCATCCTCTGTACTTCGCGTGATCGCGTAGTCCTACTTCAAGTTCTTGCCAGCCTTCTTTGCGGCGGTGCGCAGTCGGGTGATCTGCTTCTTCCACCCGTAGCACTGCGAGCAAGCTAGGTATATTAGTGAGCAGGAGCGAATATATGTGAGCAATGACGCACAAGTGGACGCATGCTTCTTGCACTGGTACACACCATCCTTGGTGACTGTCGCAGCCGGCGCTTCGATACCGTCGCGGTCGATCGGGTCAAATCCGAAGAAGGCGTCGTTCTCCTCGCGGCCGTCGAAGCTGCAGTCTTCACACTGAGGGGTAATGTCAGCAACACATGACATTAAGACAGAGGAGATGCGATGGGGACAGTGAATGGAGGTGGAATGGTACGTGGATCGATAGAGCAAAACAAGCTCTGGATCCGGCGGGAGGGAGCGAGAGGAAAAGGCCACGTACCACCTCCTTAAAGTGTGTGCAGAAGAGCAGGTCGTTGATCTCGATGGTCGCGGGCACCGGCGCGGCGGTTTCTGCCATGACTAGGAGGGCGAGACGGACGAAGTTGGGAGGATCGATAAGGGGGTGAGTGGGGGAAGGAGGAGAGGGACGGAAGAGCCATTGCCGTGTGAGTCATAGAAATGATATAGTGCCCGATCAGCCGATGCGGGGAAGCGGGGAATCGCTTCCATAGAATCTTCGGCCGAAGGACGTGACCTATACAGCGTCACCGGCACCCTGGAGTGGTCTGGCCCATCATTTTTATTTCCCTGACGTATCACAGCGTATCACATGGACAGGGCCGCGATACACTTGACGACAACCCTCATCATGATTCATGTCCATCCTCCTTATAATTAAGACTGAATCTCACATGATCAACGAAGCAGCGGTACGGCTTCTCGTTTTCCACCCGCGGGCCCCGCAATGTACGACGACACCTCCAACAAGTTAAACACACTTTTATGTCACGGTCCCTCGCCAGAGCGCCCAGTACTCGGTTAGGAGCCGCCACTCTGCCTGTCGTCTTGTCCCTAAATGAAGAGATGACTACAGTATATATGTGTGGTGTGTCAAGTATTTGTGCCATCCATCCTCTATCCATCCCTTCTCTTATGGCCGACTTACTGGCTCCCTCGCTAGAAAAAGTCTTCGCGTGCGTTGCTGTCCCATCCTCCACTGCTCACATCTTGTTGTAGGCCCATTCTCATCGGCACATGGATCAACTTCATGGTTTATACGCTCGAGATGTGCCTCACATACCAGTTCTTCTCAAAGAAAAACCATATATTGTCTTCTGGCAAGCTTGTCAACACTGACATTCCGCGGCAGTGAGGTCTCCGGCGCTAACACAAAGCTTGTGCGATGGATCGTTGGGGTTGAACTGCTTGTCAACTCCATTGCGACGATAGGTGCCTGTGCCTACACTTATTTGGTCCGTCTGTGCGACTACTTTCAGCTTGGTGTTTGTCATTCATACGATGTCTAGTTCCTAGTAATGCACTGGGGCGACCTGGAGTATCTGTATTACAATGGGAACCCTTGGCCTGGAGGGGTTTATGTGCGTCGTTACCACTTTTGTTCGCCTGCCGCTGATACTCTAATCCAGTGTATGACCTCCGGCATTAGCGGAGTCATCGTCCAGTTGTACCTTATCTGGCGCTACGGTATCTTGTGAGTCCCCAGACGGTGCCCTTTGCTCAACTTGAATACTAAATGTCCCTTAGGTCCAAGAACTACGTAGTATGTGTTCTTTTGGCTTTTGGAGCGACGACCGGCCTTGCAGGAGCCCTCGGAGCGGGATTTCTCTCCATCACCCACCCCATGCCCAGCCTCGACATGATACGCAAGATGAAGCCCATTTCCATGTTCGGCTCACCCAACCTTCTTAAATGTGCTCGCTGACGGGCGCCCATTACTCAGGGTGCAGGGTGTGGCTTGTCTCAGCTGTCGTGACCGATATCGGCATCGCTGGGGCCCTCGTCTACCAGTTACGACAATATAAGAGCGGCTTCAGGAGGACACGCTCGTGCGTCTTCCTTCTCTCTTTTCAAGTTGTGCGCAACCAACCGCAATTATAGTATTATTCACCGACTCATGGTGGGTGCTGTCCAGACCGGTACCGCCACTGCCGTTGTGGCGACTGCAGTACTAATCACATTCGTTATCTGGCCCAATACCACGCTTACACTCGCTCCGGGCTTTTTCCTTGGTCAGCTCTACGGTTGCACGCTCCTCTTCAACCTGACCACCCGCCGCATGGGCGAGGCCGGTAACTCCACGATGGGGCAGTCCGACGATCAGTTCTCTGGGTCACGCTCCCGCGGCGCCGGGACTGTGCGCGACCGCGACCGTGCCACGCGGCTAGACACATTCAGCAGTGGTATCCGTACGTATCCATATTTCTTTTTTCCGCGCTGCCCCTCCACTTATCCGCTCCGCAGACGTCCACCAGATTGTGCAGGTCGACAACGACAATGATATTCTTGGCTTTGACGTGAAGCTTGCCGTGGGGAGCGGTGGGGCCGGGGAGGAAATTGATGGTGCAAGCGTGGGCGACAGTAAGGCGCGCATTCCTGGGGTAATTTAGACTGGAAAGGGGGATATCAACTTGTCAAGTTATAATTGTAGTACTAGGTGTCTGTAAACGCGGCTGCAATCCAGGCTCATACCTATCCGTCATCTCAGTGCTAGTCCGAGAGGTGCAACGAGGGCTGGGCATGAGCCTGCCTGCAAATTCCAGCGAATCCAGCCTGCAATCACTTCTTGGTGAGCAGCAGTATTTATTGTACGCTAGCGCGAAGTGGGAAAGAAATAAATTTTCCACAACTTGGAAATAAAGTTGTGGATCTAGGATCGCACATATTCCCAAAATCTGCAGTATATATGTTCTTTCCCGCAACTTTTTCTTTGGTAACATTGGTCACATAATCCAAATCCGTAATATTAGCTTCAGTCCTAGTGCTGGCCATAAATAAATAATATTACATATATTCTAAATTTTAGGATATAATATTATGTCAAAGCAGACCTTGAATCTTAATATCCTAATATAATATGATAGAATATATTATGAATACATTATATGGCTGCCTGGCAATGTTTCATTATACTCAAGTATTCAACTATTTTAGCATGCCAACCAGTAACACTAACATCCTGTCATAGTCAGATTGACATTTTGGTGGAAAATTATCTGCCTGTCACAGGTCACAACTAATTTCGTTGATTCCAAACATTGCAAAATGGTTCCAAAAACTTTGAAAATTTCTGACAAGGCAGAAGGTCACACCAAATTTGGCCTTTGACTGGATTTCACATTTCTGCCACAAGTGCCACAGGTCGCAGGCCTGCAGAATTGATCAAAATACTACGGTATTCCCTAGTGTCAGGGGAACCTCCCATTTGCCCCCAGAGACATCTCCATCTCCAGCTAGGGGAGGATAGTGTTGTCTAGGGCCGGGCTGCCCTGCCAAGCCCCTGTTTAGGGCCGGGCTTTCTAGGGCTGGGGCTTGACTGAAGGGCAGGCCCTGGCCCCAGGCCCTGCCAAGCCCTGCCCTGCCCCGGGCTTGGGGCTCCGGCCCTGCCAGTAGTAAAGCATAATATACTTAGAGAACTTATATTGAAACTAACTAGAATTCATCATCAGTCAGATAACAATCGTCAGCAAGGTCCAACCCATCCTCCGCAATCTTGAGCTCTGCTTGCATCTGAACCTCCTCAATCTGCTCCTGCTCAATCTGCTGCTCATATGTAAGTGTCTCGCGCATCTCCGGATACCAAACATGGTGCTTCAGTGCAAACTTGAGTGTTTGAAGAGCTTCGACAACGTCTGGCTTTAATCGATTCCGGCATTTAGTAATCGTGAGGCCAGCGGAGGAGAATACCCGTTCGCAAGATACTGATGATGCAGGAATGGGGAGGTAGTCGCGAGCCAACGAGACCCAGGTAGGATCATAAAGATAACTATTTTGCTATATCAATGTTAGCCAAAGAGGGCAATTGAATAGAAAAGACTCGCACCGCCCACCAGTTTAACACCCTATATAGCCCATTCTTTGCAAAAGATGTGGGCTGAGCTGCAAGGCTCTAATGCAAAAGATGTGAAACAGGGTTTAATTATTGAATTTCTCAATGGAATTGAAAGATATGACTAAGCTAAAAATTGATATAGTCATATAAATCACCTTTTCTTCAGGCCGAATACTCGTAGGGTAATACTTTGGACTTATGTGGCAGAAATAAGGAAATAAATTCAGAGATTAGGTAAGACTGATGTGGCATCACCTGGTCATTAGATCTAGTGATGGCAATCAAAAATCGTTCCACATTATGTAATATTATGTAAATGCCCTGATCCCATCAATTAAAACCCACCAGAGGGCTTATAAATAATTATTTTATTGTTTATAAGTTTTTCTTTGGGCACTTGCCCTCATCTTTTGCATTACAGCCTTGCAGCTCAGCCCTCATCTTTTGCAAAGATACAGCTATATGAGCTGAGTTTAAGATCGTTTGATTTTCCTCAAGTGTGTCCTGACAGTCAAAGTAGCGGTCAAACGCGGTGTCAAGATTAAGCCTAGATGGGATTGGTGCAGTGCCTGGAACCATAAGAGTATTTGAGTTTGATGGAACCGGAGTATCGTCTTCGTCATCTGAGACCATGAATAGATGCTGTCCTTTTTTCGAAACCTTTGATTGTCGGTATGTGACTGTTGGTGCTTTGTGGATCTTTTCGAAGCGAGCGGTAAACTTGGTTTTAATGTAAGTATATGGTAGCTGAAGAGCAAACAAGATACAATTGATTTTATGCTTGATTTGGCAGCCTCATATTTGTCTTTGGTCCAATAGGTTTGTAGCCACGCCAACTTCATGGTCAGCTCGAGGACTAGTCGATCAAAAGTCAGTATCAATTACTGAGATATACAATGAGTACAAACCCATTGCTATCAGATATGCGTCAGAGGTTGCAGAGCGGCTGTAGTATTCCGCAATCAACTCGAGTGCTTGCTCCAGCGCTGGCTTGAACTCTTCAAACTCCGGCTTGTCACACATTGCAGTCCAGCAACTCAAGTTTCCCATATATATGCCTCAAAGGTGTCCATGATTTGCTTTGCAGCAAGATGTCGTCGTCTCGTTGACACATCCTTGACAAACGAGACTTTGTCAGCCTTCTTAAGTCTAGTGCAAATGTGAGATCTGACCCAATGTACGCATAAATAACTCACTGGCAGACCATACAGTCATAATATATCTTTGTCGCTTCCCCACCAGCTCGAACCAGGGTTGTGCGCTGATGCTTGTTGGTGTAGAAGTGTTCGAGGTCGGCCGTTGGCTTGGTGTCGTTGAGCGGGGCATTTGGGTCTACATCGGCAACGACAGTGACATGCACGTTCTTGAGCATGCCCTGTGCATCTTCCTCGTACGGGCTGGGAAGGATTAATGGTGTCTGAGAAGTTCCGGAAGCTGGATTTTGAGTAAGCGCTAGCTCGAAGACATGTGGCAGTTGTGGGAGACATACCTTGTCTTTCTGTAGCTTTGTCGACATCTGTCTCCGCATCTGACACTATGGCTTCACAGAATCAGCCCCGAATGGGAGCAAGAATAAA